ATTGCTTACACTTATATAGCGCTTTTTCTGGACACTCCACTCAAAGCGCTTTACAGGTAATGGGGACTGCCCTCCACCACCACCAATGTGCAGCCCCACCTGGATGATGCGACGGCAGCCATAGTGCGCCAGAACGCTCACCACACACCAGCTACTGTAGATACTACACCTCTTTGTCACCTGAAGGGGTACTTCACTCACTTATCTCTTCAGATTTCGAGCATTGTTTTTAATGTCTCTACAATATTCTTTGTATTCTTATGTCTGTTTTTCTTATTTTATACTGACCTGGAGCTGCCGGGAGAATTTGTTTTTTTGGTTTTCATTTTTGGGACTTCCTCAAGCCTTAGAAGCAGCTGGAAAATAAACATCATGAGTCTTAGGATGTAATACATTACACAAATGATGTATGGAAAACTGTGCTTATCTTTCAGGATGGAAATTGTTTTTGTGTTGGACATTGTGACAGCATATCTGTCTGAAAATACACATTTCCTTAGACTTTAACCAGACTTCCTTGTTATCTGACAGCCAGAATAATATAACATCCTGCACAGAATGATCAACGGTGCTAATGAAATTTGTTTCATAACTTTAGAGCTTATATTTTAAAGTTAAAGTCCAAGGTTAATAACAATATTTTGTCTTCATGAGAGACATATCATAAATGATCATTGGTAGTCCATTATGTTATACTGTTAGATTACTGTATATGCTCATTTTTTATGCTACAAAAGAATTTAAACAGTGAAAGAAGGGGATTATAAAATACATGGAAGAAAATGTCCATGGGGATTACTAATGCAATCATATGGAAATGAAATGTCATATAAAAAAAAAGACTTAATGATGTGGATATTGATGACATAAAAACTTATACAGTAGTGTGAAAGCAAACATCTCACTTCTTTAACATGCAAAAGTAAAAAGAAAGGATGCAGTGCACATATTCTAATGATTTTGTTAACTACACTTTGAACTATCTTTAAGTTAATTCTTTCTTGCTAGTGTTCTTCTTTTTATTAAATGAACATCCTGTTTTTTACAATTATCACCTAACAATCGATAGTGTTGTTATTCAATTCACGATAACAGGTGAGTTATTGCTGTCTTTTACATAATTTTCGCAACATCTGATTTAACATGAGTGCAGCAAAAAATAAAGCCACCTACCTTTGTTACAAACCTTCTTTCATGATTGTACAAAAAATCTATAAAATAATTGTTCTTAAAATAAATGTTCTCTGTTAAAGCATTTCAATGAGCACAGAATAATGAATACTGACTTAAAGACAGTGAGGAAATGGACAAATAATCTAGAATTGTTTTCAGGATGTCCACAAGAATTGAAATTTAAGGTATTTTCTAAAATAACATGGATCACAAACAAATAATTTCAGACTAAAACCCTGCAGGTTCCAGCAAGCAGAAAATTAAATGTCTTTCATTTTGCTGCAGGCTACAAAGGTCAATGCAGTTTTGCTTCCTCGTTTATATTTGTACCGAAAGCTTTAAACAAATGCTTTATAAAAGGCTGGAGGACCAAGAGCTTCCAGAGCTGAGTTTCCTGTTGTAGATCACACGTCTAGACTGTCTCTCAGCTGGATAAGTGCTTTTGCTGAGATCCCTCTGGTCACTGCAGAAAAGAGAAAGAGTGAGGCAGAGTGAACATGGATTCGCCGTCATTTCGACAACCTTTCTCCGTCGTTTTACTGTTCATCACTTTTCACACATTCACTTGCGAAGAGAAAGAATGTGTCTCAACACTTCAAAGTAAGTTTGACAGTTCGTAACGGTTTTCTAATCTGCTGCTACAACACATACGGTGCGTCATAATTTGTAGGAAACAATTGAAAAATATTCAGATCCTTTTTTATTTACAAGTGATGTGTATTTCTGTATCCCGTTATAGAGAATCTATGGAATCTATAAAGGGGGTTGTAACCTAAATTTGATTTTTTGTACTGCTTTTTTTCTTAAAATACTTGCGTAGAATCTTTCAAAGAATTTCCGAATGGTTTGTGCTATAGATATGTCAAATGTGATTCCATTCCAACCGTGAAAAATAATGCTGTAGATGTAGAAAGTAAGAAACGGTACTATAGAAGATATTAAAATATAAGTTGTTACAGGACTAAATGGTAAAAAGAAACTGAAGGAAGGAATCTACAATTATTAATTGAATATATATAATTATCTCAAAGCAGTGTATAATCATGTCTTCTCATACTGGTAATATACAAAGCCCTGTCTAACTATCTGTTTAAATGCAATTTATTTATTTTTTTACTAAATTAGAACTACAATGACACCATTGCAATTAAATTCTGATTTAGATTAGTTGTAGTCTGAAGAAAGTGCAAGAAAAGCTTTATGCTAAGCTACTCTGAAAAATAAATCAAAGTACTGGTATGCATAACACATGTGGTGAATGAACATGTGCTTGGGAATTCCTAAATTTTTCCCTTTGTTTTTCCCCGACTTTGTGATTCATGATGAGTCTCATTCTCCATGCATTAAGTCTGATTAAATTACTGAACATTAGTGGATAAAACACATTACAGTACATTTAGTGTACATGTTCATGAGTTGTTTCTGATTAATACTGTACAGAAAGTATAATGTTTAAGAAGAGAAATTAGATTGATATTCAATAGGTATCTTTAATCTTGATTTAAGGAAACTTTAGGAAGCTTACATGTCATGTGTGATGTAAAGTTGGTTAAAATCAGTCAGCGTTTTTCATGAGTTGGCTTTAAAGTAATCTTTAGTTAAGTTGGTCAATTGTGATTGTGAGCCAATTGTATTGAAATTTGTGGTGGTAAAAGGAAGGAAACTCAGTTTTGACCTACATTTAAAGTTGTAGAGCTTTTGGGTCTATAGGGCCTCTCTACTTTCCTCAAGATGGTGACCAGATGCTGAACCGCTAATAGAAAAAACATGGGATTGTCGGGGAACTGGCAGGTAGTTTTCTGATGTTCCTGGCATAGCTGTGAATTCTGTGGGATGCAGAGGCAAACAATCCAAAATCATAATCCAGAAGCAAGGTCAATAGGAGAAGCTAGAGATCAGATAACCAGAAAGAGCTGAGACAAACTGAGAAGACAATCCAAAAGGCTAAATCAAAGAGACAAGATCAAAAAGGGAAAAGTTTAATCCAAAAAACCCGCACGATAGAGAACTCTAATGGAGGCTTCTCACTAGTGAGCATGGTTTGGTGCGTGAGGGAACTTTAAATACTGAAGGGAGAGGGACGTGGTTGGATAATTGGTCTAGGATTGAGAATCTGTGGAATCTGGTGCCTGTGGGAATCTGATGGGCTCAGTTAGGAATGAGATTGTGAAACAGTGGTTTTGGGAATGTAATGGCGTTTGCGAGGGAGAGTCCGGGGCATGACAGCGATAAAACAAAAAAACACACGATCTGTAGCAGCACTTATAGACTGACCGCTGCGCGTTACCCAACACACCACTCCCACCCCCATCCCAGGCAGCCTCAGAACACACATACTGTATGTGCTCCTCAGGCCTTGCTTGTACACATTTAAGGCCGCTGGTGCTGGTGTCTCCATATTTTGGAATACTGAAGTGGTATTTTAACAGTTGTGCAGCTACACAAACCTTCCACATATTTAAAAATGTTTAATTGTGCATTTTTTACTATAGATCTTTCAATTTTCATTGCAGTTTAGTAATTAGGATGTCAGAGATGCCTATCAAATAACGAATGCTTCTCAGTGAATCACACAACTTCTTTGTTTTAATGGCAGCCCACAGAGAGCAAACTACACTCTGTGGTTTTCTCTGTAACGAGCAGCAACACCCAACAAACCGAAAGTCTGTGTGTACAGTATGTATAAATAAATCATAGCTTGCCCATGCAGTAACGACATGAAAAGGTAGATTTACTGTAGTTTGAGGCAGTCTGAGTTTAGTTTTAAATAACATGCTCGAACACATTTTCAGTAAAATGGAAGATTATATATTTTTTAGAAAATAACGAATGTACAATTAGCACATCTGACAGGCCCCCTCCCAATAATATCTACTGTACTGTAGATCGCCTATACCTTAATCGAGCCCTATCCTGCAGATGTTTGTATACAATTCAAAAAATGTTAAAGTTAAATGCAATCTTATCACATCTATATTAGTAAAAATGGTAAAAATGCAGCACTAAACAAAAAAGCAAAAAGCTCAGAAATGATTCAATGCTCAAAAAAGTACCCCAGACATGTGCTAAAGTGCTTATATGTAAATAGATTGTTTATTAGTAAGATGGTAGATGGTTTAAAGAGTATTAGAAATCTGGTAATCACAGGATGCATACAGTATATTAGTACATCTTATATTTTTTTTCCAACCAAAATATTGCTGCAAAAAAGTTAAAAAAACATTTCTACACTAACACATTTGAACCACAGGATTCCATTAGTCATCAGTACAATTTTGTTAAGTGTTTCGCTTCTGATGTGACATTGTTAGCTTATTTAACATTTAGCTTCTTGAGCATTCAAGTTTTTGTTGAAATCTTCACTTTATGAATAATGTGTGTACACCATTTTTAATTTGAACAAAACAGGACATGATTGGGAGGGGATGAAATACTTTTGCAAGGCATTGTATATTGATGAAGCATTAGGGACATCATTTGTGAAAGAAATATTTTTAAAGACACATTAAAGAATCTCTTTTTAACAATCAACCATACCCAAAATTGACTGTGTGTATAAGCCTCATAGTGTTCTTTGTTGAGAAATTTGCTCTGAAGTCTTAAAGGTGTCTGTTTTTTGTGAATTTCCATTTGTAAACGATTAATAAGCACTGACATCTTCCTTCTTTTTTATCTAAAACAGTTGTGCGAAGTTTCAACATCCACTCTAAATGCAACAGAACAGTACTGGATGAAAAGGATCAAGCGCATGTGAAGGGCCCAGTCACCACACTGCTCATCCCCTTGCTTTACTTGTTGGCTCTTGTCGTTGGACTCCCCGCTAACGTGACAGCCATGTGGGTCCTGCTCGCTAAAACCAAGAAGATGCCTTCGACTATTTTACTGATCAACCTGACAACTGCAGACCTCCTGCTCATCCTGGTCCTGCCCTTCAGGATTGCCTACCACTTTCAGGGCAACAACTGGATCTGGGGGGAGAGTTTCTGCAGGACCACCACTGCCATGTTTTATGGCAACATGTATGGTTCCATTCTGTGCCTCATGCTTATTAGTATCGATAGATACATTGCCTTAGTCCACCCATTTGGTGCCAAAGTCTTCAGGAGCAGAAAAACTTCCATCTACATGAGCCTCGTCATTTGGGTCATTGTAATAGGAGCCATGTTGCCTTTACTCCTCACTCAGCAGTCTTACACCTTAAATGAGCCGAACATTACCCTCTGCCATGATGCTTTGCCCCAGAAGGAGCAAGAAACATTCTTCTTTCCTTACTTTGCCAGCCTCTTCACCCTAGCATTCGTCATACCCTTCTGCGTCATCTTGTTCTGCTACTGCTCCATCATATGGACGCTGATGAGAAGTCAAGAGAGGTATACCCATGCAGCGAAAATAACTGCTCTGGTATTGGTGGTCTTCATTGCTTGCTTTTTGCCCAGCAACATGATCCTTCTCATCCACTACTCAGAATCCCATCTCATTGTGGGAAAGCAGGACTTATATGTCCCTTACCTGTTCAGCCTGGCTCTGAGCACCTTCAATAGCTTCATTGACCCCTTTATCTATTACTATGTGTCTGAAGATTTTAGAAATAAAGCAATAAAACTATTTGTCTGCTGTAGAACCAAAAATTACTTTATATCCACTCTTTCTTCAAGAAATCAGGATTCTTATTCAGCTTCTAAGTTCAGGTCTGTTAGTACAGAGATGTCCGCCTTAAATGGGGGACAGCTCCAGAAGAATCAGTGCCTAACCTGAGATGTCTTTGTTGTGAATTATGAAAGATTTTTAATGCCTCAGAATATTTCTGCGCAAGCTGTTTTTGTTGTGCTAAGAGTTAGCGAAAACACAAACTAATAAATGCCTTATTTTTTTAAGAATTGCAAGAATACTGAAATTCATTTACTTTCTTATTTTTTCAAGAGCATATGTATTTTCAAGCAACCTCGTGTTTAAGATGTTTCAGTATGAAACAAGATACTCTACCATAATGAAATCATTACAAGTTTATATTGTTTATGTTCCCCCTCTGTCAGTTACAATTGTCTCCTGATTTCAATTGGTGAATTACTCAAAACAGAAAAAGTTGCTGGCGACAACAAGATTTTGTCATTGTTTTCTTAACATAATCCTAGTATTGTTTGGTCCTGCATTGACCTGCTGGAAAATAAATTAACTTGGAGACATGGAAAAGTTGCTGGCTCAAGGGCTTCATCAAAGTTTTGCTAAATTGTAAGCCTTCCTTCTGCACTGGCGATGTTAAATCAGATTCCTGCCCACATCATCACAGTTCCTCCACTCTCCATCACACTTCCTCCAGCCTCCAGCTGGCTTGAATAACACTACAGTAAATACAATGCTTACTGTGACATTTTCTGTCAAAGGAAAAACAGCATTCATTCCCTCAGTCACTTTACTAGATGTTCTACCTCCCACAGAGACAATTTTGATTATTCCTTCCATTTACAAAGTGTTTTTCCTCCCTAAGGATTGAAAAACACCCTACACGTTGCATAGGAGGGGACCCATCTCATCTACCACTAAAGTGTCTCACCCATCCTGTGCCTGTTAGCAGTCCCACTATACAACAGAGCAGGCTATGATATTGTGAGAAATGATTTCACCAACTGAATTAGGCTGAAGGTTAGGTGGCCATTTCTAACCTTTCAAAGTTACCCCTGACTGATTTATAAATGTGCAGGACATTTTCATGCAGATACTTTCTGCTGATACATATGTTATTTCTTCCTGTACTGACTCATCTTGTAACCCTTGCAATCTGTAAACAATAACAAGGATGATTCATATGGATGAGGCAGTCCTGGGCTGGTGTGGGGACCCTCTTCCTTCCAGGATATGTCCTTCCCCTCACAAAACTGATTTCCTGGTTTCTCTGGACCAGTCAGCCGTTTGCTGAGGCTGGACAAGAAAACCTTCCAAGAAAACCTCTTTCGTTGACTCATACTGATAGCAACCAAGTGATCTTCATTACTGAAGAAGGACAAGATTGCATAATTTGTATAAATAAGAATAGTTAATCAATTAATCAATTCATTTAGACAATTTCAACTCTAAAAAAATTCAAAGGAGGTAGTTAGCTAGCCAATCTTCAAAGGCTGCAAAACAACTATTTTTAAACAAACAATAAACAGGAACTTGTGAACACCTGCTTAAATTATTCTTTATCATGTCGGTGTTTTCTTTTTATCAGAGATATTGACAGAAATGCTTGTGCGATTGGTCATGTTGCCGACACCAAATACTTGCTTGTGGTTAGCTTCTTGAAGAAGATGAGCTTTCTCTTCAGCTTCAAAAATGCTGCTGGCACTAGTACGCTTAGTTCTGTTATATTTTGTCTTGTCTTTAGTCAGTTACAAAGTAGTCTTGAATCAAAGCCCTGTTCGTTTCACTTTAAAGCAAAGCTGTACAATGCTGTAAAACACGAGAAGGAGCTTATGTTATGCTGAATGTGGGAAATTACATCACTTTATCTTTGGAGAAAACATAATCTAGTAGTTCAATCAGATCAGAAAGGGCATGTTTTTACAGGAAGGAACATGCATCAGAAGTGAAACAAATACTCATCACCCACATGATTCCCACATAATGTGAGAAAGAAAAGGGAAATTATACCTATCACTACATATACAAAGCAGTGTAGATCAAACGTAAAATATTTTAGATTCATGAAATATACAGTAGACTGTAAAATATATATGGTTCTTCCATGCTGTGTATAAAATTACATGAACCCAACAGATGAAGGCCACACAGTTAAGGAGAATTTGATAAATAGAGTTTTTAACAAAAGTTGGGGAGGGATAAGTAATCAGTAATTAGCAATCACTCCCTACGTCCTTTTATCTCCTAAAACACTATAAATACCTACGTGATCCCCATCTCTCCCTCGCATACATCTTTCGCATCTCACCTCCACGCCATCTCCACCTCTGCAGCTGCCCCTTGGTCACCCTGCGCGGGGGTCCTGGCCCCCTTGTCCACAGGCCAGGAGGTCGGTCCTCAGCCAAGCCAGTTAAGCTAAATTTTCACTCCTTAAGCCTTTCATGACACTTTATTCTTGGGTGTTGGCATTCCTAGTGAAACTGTGAACTGCAGAGAACTGAGAGATGTAAATAAACCAAAGAAGAAGTATCCTTGTTTCGCACTTGGGACAAGCGAAACTCGGTCGTAGGCTGCTTTTTGTACATATTATTGAGCCTAACTTACCCTTCAATAACTACAATATGGGGTCAATGTTCAGCAAACATTGGGGTCAAGGCAGGATACATTCTGGACAGAATACCAGTCAAGCACATTAAGTAATCAATCAATTAAATTCTAATGTATTTTGCCTGCAATCTTTGTGACACTTCACAAGTATGTAAAACATTTTACAGTAAATGAACTAACTCTTACTGCATGTTAATTCCAAATGGCTGACAGCAATAAAATCTCTGAATTCCTCCCTTCAAACCCTTTTCTTATTTGTATTCTTTCAGTGTGCCACTGTTATGCGTATTGAGTTCTGACCACGTGATAGTCACGGTTCTGCGCGGGGCCGTGCCCCCCGCCGCCCGTTCTGGGTGCGAACCCAGGTCTCTGGCATAAAGCAACAGGCAGCTGAGGTTCCTGCTACGCGCACTGAGGGCTCTGACGTCACCACACTAGCTCCGCTTCAACCACAGCACTTAAAAGTAGAAAAATCTTTTGGTTCTACTGACCAGTGATACTAACTTTGTTTACATTTAATATTGCAAACCTGTCATTGCTTTTTACAGTCGGGGCCTTTGGCACTTTATCCAACGCATTTTAATGCTATTCTCCAACAGCATTTAATATTTGTGACAGAATGACGCTTGTTTTATATTTATACACATATTATATACTATATTTAATGGAGGGACATCTATTAATTTCTTGATGTTGAATAGAAAATTTGTATTTTATCTCGTTTGGTCAAAATTATTGTCAATAAATGCCAATATTTTACTCCCCGAAAGGTTCACTCTCTATAGCTGTAACAGAGAAATTATATAAACAACTGCAAAGCAGATGGAAAAATTAAACTGTATAGTTTGTAACCTGTGTTAGAATTTGCATTTATTCTTCATTTCTGTCTGCCTTAGATACTTTAGGTGGTATAATGTGATGAAATACAATAGGTGCCTGTGCATCAAGACGATTAGAAAACACGTCAGAGATCGCCTTTTTTAAGCAGTATGCTTGTGAATGGAATAAAACATCAAGAAAGTCCAAAAGGGAAAAGATTACTTTCCTTTATTTCAAAACAATCTTCTACCAGGATTGGGTGAGTCTTTCAATCTTATCTTGTTTCCTGTTATTTGCAAAACATCCATTACTATGCATGTTTTGTCAACAGTTCTAACTTAAGGCTCAGGAATTCAATATTAACCATTTTAAACCAATCGTAGCGAACGTTACAGTACAAAAAAGGTTGTCTTCATTAAAAAAGCACAAAATAAGAAACATTTTGTCTTGCAGATAAACTCTGGTACGATTGTCAGAGATGATATATCTGGCTGTAGGCTGTAAGATTTCATAGGTAAACACTGGGACTTGACTTAAAAATGCATGTTTCTGAGAAACTTGTGAAATAATCAAGTTCCTGAAAAGATTGATTAGTTGTTAAATTGATCTACCAGCCTTATACTGTATATGCAGAATAGTACAGACTAGCAGGCCTGTAACTCAAAAATGCATTAGTATAGCCTGACACCTGGTGGCAGGCACTGCAAAAGCCTGTCTCTAGCCCGCCATACAAAAAAAAAGAGAAGCCTTTCATGTTAACTGTCACATCTTAAGAGAAACAACAAAAAGATAATCGTTTTATTTTGACTATCATTCACCGTATTCTTGTTACTGTATTAGCATATCAACATTCCATTATTTTTTCCTATTATTAAAACATTAGACAGCAAAGGTTGAATATATATAAGATGTTAGGTCTTTTAAGATCAGACTGTTCTCTTATTTATAGTTCATAGTTATTTTAAATAGCTAAACATGAAGATGTCGTCAAACTCAGTTTTACAGCAAAAATATTATATGGTCAAAAACAAAACGATTTGTGGTACTATACTATCAATTTCTTAAAGAAGCAGTGCTTTATTAAGCAGTTGCATTTGGCTCATTTATTAAACACTGCATATGATCTTTTTACACCTAACAAGCTCATTTTATGTTTGTACAGAGAAAACTATAAAAAATATTAATGAATTCAGGCCTTTGGGTACTCATAAGAAAAGCAAACCACTGATATTTGCATATGTAATTACTGTAGTATTATCTTTATGCTACTCTAGCAGCAAACCGAGATAAGATAAGACCACTCAAATGTCAAGAACTGCTCATATTTACAGCATCATACCTGCAGTTCCTTAAAGCACTGTAAGGGGGAGTGTGGCAATAATTTCTAACCTTGAATAACAAGTAACGTACTGAAATAAAAATGTTTCTCTCAGAGACTCAACACACGCAGTTGAAACTACCTTTTAGAGACGGATGTGACAATTGTCTTGAGCTACAGTGATAAAGCTCCAGTAACCATATTACAAACAAACATTCATTTTTCTCACCTTCATTTTCCTCATCTTATTGCCTAGGCAATATTTATTTATTCATTGAATGTTAAACTACTTCCGTTCCTGATGCATTAAACCTGGCTGAACTAATGATTCTCGATTACACTACAGGTATGTACTATTAGTGCTGCATTCGCAGACTGTCACACTCTACGATCATTGTCATCCAGAAACAGAAACAGTTGACCTCAATGAAAGCAAAAGCAAGCTTTCGTTTTTCTACCTTGCGGCTGGTCAGCTAAATTTATTTAATTTAATTGCTGGTACAGTACAGTATATACGGCAGAAGGCAGGTTTACACCCTGCGTAGACAGGATGCCAGTCCATTGCAGGAAACACACACACACGCAGTTATTTAACGAGAGAAATTAACCTGTGTTTTAGCGGTGTGGGGAAACTTTCACAGTGGGCAGCCAATTAATCTATGATTTAAATATTATTTCTTTATTATTATTTCCCGCAGGGCTCTGGCATTAGCTCAGCTACTGTGCCCTTTGCTACCTCGTGGTTTCTTTATGCTGGGTTTCTTTTTCGTCAGCCTTTCTGTGCTTGCTTCCTTGCCGCTATCGCTCTGCAGCCCTGCGCGGTGGGTTTATTTTTGTGTCGTCGACTTTTTTGGCTCGCCTTTTTATTTTCTTACGGTGTTTCCCACCTCACCACTGCCTGAGACCTGCTGGTGAGCTCTAGGTCAGACGCAGTAAGTTTTCACCTCGCCTAACTGGCTCCTTTTCTACATTTCAGCAACGCATAAAAAGATTAATAAAACAGTCAAGGTGTTTTTGTAAAAATAAATAATTTAATGATTTCCCACTATCATTATGTTACTATTTTTTTAGTTATTGTAATAGCAATAACAACAATAATTATAGACATATAAGTAATAAACTGTATACTGTATGATTCTACACACCAGCACATATATAATCCAGAACAAAAGCAAAAAGAAAGTAGGAAGCAAAGCACAGCACAGCACAATAACTTCACCCCTTATTGTATAGAGCCTGATCTACAGTGAAGTAAGATGGTCTCAATCAGCAGATCTCGGATTTAGATGTGAAATATACATAAGCACTAAATTCTAAAAATAATCTGGAGCTGAGTCATTCCAAGTCTAATAAAGTACCTTGAAATTCATTCCAAATTTCACTGACAGTAAGCACAATTTCAACTTCCACCACATGGCTGAAAAGATTTTTCCATATTATCACAACCCTTGGGGTTAAGTACCTCCTGTTTGCAGTTTTAACGTACTGTACGTACACATAATTTGTACCTGTGTCCTCTGATTTAAGTTTCACAGTTTATTTAACAGAAATCTGCTGGGCTGACTTTGTTTATTTAAATGGTTTTGATCTGAAATTAAAAAGAGGTGTCTTGGGTTCAATCAATATCTTTTTTTCTTTGGTGACATAAACGTTCTACATTTGTGCCTTGCTCGCAGAGTAACCAGATCACTTACGTTTATTCCTATTTCAATTACAGTTTAACTACAGAAAAGTAGTTGAAAACATCTTTATTTGTGATGTGTAACCTGCTAATGAGTTATTTATTTATGTAAATGTAGCCTTTGTTTCAGAACAGGAGCTTTACTGATGTATAAGCTGTTAATAAGATCATTATTAATTTAAATTCTGTCTTCTCGCAGCGTAAAAGCTGCAAAACAGATTTGTAGCAACTAAAAGGTATATGTATATGTAGATTACACTTTAGAATAGGTGGTAACCATCAATGAATCATCTGCCATTCAAATTGTGGCACCTAGATTATCAAAATAAAATCTGTAATTCTCAAAAGCGACTTTTGAGAAACACATTTGCAGTTTCACTGTGTGCCAGTGATGTGTGGATTGGTGTGTGAGGGTGTTTAAAACCAATGCAATACTATAAGTCCTTCATTGTATTACACATATTGAGACATCTAATACCAACCATGTAGCTTTTATTCATTAAAAGTCTTGTGCTAATGAAAGCTGATAGGAATCCAGGCTAAATTACATAGTTTGGTTCTCTTTACTTCCCATCCATACCTTTTTTTTAGAAAGACAAAAAACTATAAGACAGAATATATTACACCATAGGAGGCGTTGAATTAGAAAGCATTCAGTAGGAAAATGACCTAGAGCTTGTAGCAGATTCATCACTGTCAATTTCTAGGCACTGCAAAGAAACAATAAAAAGGCAAATAGAATGCTTGGATACATAACAAAGAGTTTAGAATAAAGATCAAGTGAAGCTATGTACACAGCTTCAGTTAGACCATATCTGTTACAGTTCAGATTTCTCAAAGGGTTCTCAAAGAAGCATTGATGAATGTCCAGAGAAGAGGAACAAAACCCGTTCCAACATTAAAGTAAATGAAGGACCCTAGTCTTTTTAATCTTAGTACAAGTCATCTGAGAGTGGATTTGATTTAACTCTTCAGAATTATAAACAGAATCAATAAAGTATATCTCACTTGTTGTTTAAGGTTAAGTTCAGAAAGGGGAGAAATAAAAAAAATCAATGTTCCCACCAATATTAGAAAATACCCTTTAAACACACAGTTATTAATACACAGTTGTTAATGTACTGTAAGTGGAGATAGTGGGAACTATCAAATCTGCAAACTTCAAATCAGGACTGCATAGAGCACCTGCAGCAGTCGATATTGTTCAGAGTGCTCAGAAGGTGCTCAGCAGAATCAGGGTATCTGTATACCTGCAGTTCCTCAAATTTCCCTCAGAAGACGGAAAATAAATGTTCCTCAAATAATTATGTTTGATAATTATAAACTGTATTTTAGGTAACCTGTTGGGGATAAAGTAAAATATTGCAGAACCTCAGTCACATTATATTCGTAACTCATGGGAACATGTAAGTTCATCTTATTTTTGTTAACCCACATTTACTGCAAAGGAAGCCAGTCTAGTGAATTAAATTAGAACTTTTTAATTAGATTATGTCATGTGATACAACTAAATGTGTCTTCCGGTTTTTTATTAGGAAGTTTTCTGTAGACTTGAAATATTTTTATCAGGTCAGTAAGATCTAAAACATGACAGATGTAACTAAATTCTGAAAATAATGGGAAACATAAAAACAAGCTTTTCTCAGCAAATAAACAACAATGTCTACCTGTTTCATTTCCACAGACAAAGCCAGATCTCTATGATGGTTGTAGAGCAGGTGTAGCTGAAAAGTGCACTATAGACACCAATAGTTCAACCAAATAAAACAAAATAAAATATTTCTGGTTTCTATCATTATACTGTCTGTACTGTCTAAATAAATATTGAAATGATCACTCAATGGAACACCATCCCCATCTTAATAATCTGAAAAGGACATCAAACAAATATTTCTTTCAGTTCCTGTATGCTTTAAATTTTTAATTGTTTGGACTCACTCAAACAGCTCCAACAAGTCAAACATGTTTAGTCTCTCGACAGTTCGTGTTGAGCAAGAAAAAAGCTTTCAGGCTTCAGAAACTGCCAAAACCCACAGTTACCACAAAACCAGCAGTTTTGCAAATAAATCCTTTTTGGGTAACTGTTGGCAACATTTTTGAAATTTATTTTTCCCTTTTCAAAAAAATATTGCAATGTGATTTTTGTAATGCCAAAGTAATGCCAGATAGTACTGGCAACTAGACCCATGCTGCAGGAGGAGATTCTGAAATCCATTAAAATCTTCACTTTGCACATCTCTTTGCAAAATGGTTTTATTCATTAAAAGTCTTGCGCTAATGGAAGCTGATAGGAATCCAAACTAATTTATGCTATAGTAGTTCTGTTATCTTTACTTCCTATCCATACTTTTATAACAGTATAACAGTGCTAAACAATAAAAACATTGCAATGGAACAAACTATGTTTTTGAACATATTACACCATGGGATGTGTTGTATTAGAAAGCATTCAGTAGGATAATGACCTACAACTGATTACAATTGGATATTTAGAGCTTTCCTTAAAGATTTGTTGTCTGCTACTATAAAGAAAGCAACACGCTTATTAATTTCTAAAATAATACTGTATTATTTGTGAAGCTGGGGAACTCCACCTTGGGGTTTTTTGATAATTATAAAAACAATAAAAAGATCAAGTACAAATACTTAACAGGTGATCCTGTGTTGGCTGCTGTAAACACATCATTCTCAATCAGGATGGATTTTGTTGAAATCAAGCTCTTGGAAAACAAATGCTGGTCACATTGTGCAGCCTTACTTTAAGTGGCTAATAAGGGGTATTGCATGATGGCAGGGTGTTTAGTCTGCTGCCACACAGCTCTTGTGTCATGGGTTTAATTCTGGCTTGGGGGCATCTTTTAAGGGAACTACTGTATGTATGTTTTCACATGTCTGTGTGAAATGTCTCCAAGTACCCACATTTGCAAGTGCTCCAAAATGCTCTCCAAATCTTAAAGATATTTTGTCCATACTAAATGGGGCGTCTATATTTTGTGCTACATGTATGTGTACTCTGTGATGGATTAAAGTCCCATTTCGGGTGTATTCCTGCTCTGTGTTTCCCAGGCCCTCTACAAGAATGTTTCTGTGATTATTGAAAATGGATTGCTGGTTTTAAAGAGATCACCTGAAACAAACTACGTTATCACACAGAAGACAAAATGATTTCCTGAGTGAAAATAACCTGCAGGGTTGTGGTCTTTATGATAAAACCATCACAAAGCTTTATTTCAGTTAAAATAAACTGTAGCTGCAAAAGCACACACACTATTAAACATAGACTTTATATTACAGGTAATACAGCAAATATTGAGAAAAGCCCAAGAAAATCTTTAATAGCTCACAATGATGAACTAATAGAAAAAAGACATTTTAAATTGTGAAACAAAATGTGAAAAAAGTATTTTTAAACCCTCGTATTTCAATGTTCTAGTCACTCTTGTTATCCTAATTATGGAAATTAAGTATAAGTATAAGTGTTAAGTATAAGTAACATATTCAGCGGCAAAGGAATCTCTCTGAACAACTGGAAATAGATTACATAAGTCTCTGATGATTTCTAGAAAGGCAAAGCAGACAAAATATTGTTTTGGGGAAAAAAACTTTTAAGAAAAGCTGTCTTAGGAAAACTTTACAAAGAAAAGTAACCTTATTGCAGAACACAATGAACATATTTATTTCAGTTTTATTTTGAATTAGACTGTAAAACAACAACTGTGGTGTACCACTTATGTGAATGTAATCTACTCTAATAAAATCTATTTTCTTGTTAATGATGAGGCTCTTTTTAATCTTATCTATAAGCCCATAAAGAAAACGTGGTATGATTGAACTTAAAGTAGGATCAAGCACTGTGTGGGAGTAACTGTCAGAATTCTAGTGCAAGTCCTCTCCGCCTACAAGTAAGCAGCACGCTATATATAACACACACTCATATTGCAAGAGACAAGTGCTCTAAACACCCATCTGAAAAACAGAAGTGAGAACTTAACAAAGTGTTTGCTGTCAAAGATTCTCCTTTAAGGTGTCCTGAGAAAATTCAGAATGAGGACAGCAATTATTCTGACTGTCATTTTGTCATCTGGTAAGCATCAATCATTGCTTAGATTTTGTTGACTTATTCTTTTACTTGTTTGTGTGAGCCATATCTATACTTTCCTGAGCAAACTACATAAAAACTATGCACAACGTGCATGGCCCACAATCATCTGTGACATACTAATAAGAGCTAATTTCACACTGTAAATGCTTTCAATACATTTCCATTTTCTTACCTTGGTAAAGTCTTGCAAAAAGAGCAACAAATGCATGTTTGTTAGTCTTCCACGGAAGGACAATAATCATACTGTATAATTCTGACACTACCAGTATTTAAATCCTTGTCAAATCATTGTTTCATAATGATTTGTACTTTAAGCTCCATTTAAATATTTCTATTTAAATGGCTCTTTGAGGTAAAATAGATAATGCAAGACCAATGGCTCTTAGTCCAGGACAAACAAGTATCTTATTATTTTTCACCTTTCTCCCAGTGCTTTTTGATGAACACCTCAGGGCAGAAGGTAAGCCACATTGCATCTGTGCTAAAAGTATCTTTTACTTGTAACACTTCTCAAACCATTTTCTTTGCCCTGTGAATCCTGCTGTAAGTGCAACAGATGCAACATAATATCCAAGAAGGTATGGAACAGCAAGTATAGGTGTTTAAATGATTCAAAAACAAAAAATAGTGCTGAGGAGCAGGGAAGTATATTAGTCAATCACTGTATCATTTTTGAATCTCTTTCAGATGGTTTCCTTTGTTAATTTGCCCAGCTATATTTTGTGTACTATATTTCTGTTCACAGGCATTGAGGACACATTTGGGGCTCTGTGTAGTGGAAATCCAGGCAATACTAAAAGGGGTTGTGACAGATATGGTTGTGGAAACTACGGAGCTAGCCGGTAATGTTATCACATTTTCACCCAGATGCGCACATATTTACAGTATATAACCCCCATTTTTACTATGAATTTTGAAATGCTCTTCATGATATGGTCTTTTGTTCCTGGTTTTTTTTTTTGCTCAACAGCAAAAAACTGTCAAAAGAGCTTTTAATAAAAATAGACACTCAATCATCGGTCTATGAAAATGGAACTCTTGAAAAAGCTGACAACACACTGTTGGAGTGTTCTAATTCTAATCACTGAAAAAAAATATCTAAGCTTCTTTAACAACAATTTTTCCATTTTGGGTTCACTGTTAACTTTTGAATTATCTGATCTGAAAAGCACTTTGTCAAATAGCATAATGTAATAAAATCAATATTATATTCTTTACATAAGATGTCTCAACTAAACTAAACCAATGAAAACTAACAACTCAGTCAAGAACATTCTTACTTAATTTACTTATTTAGGTTGGGAACGTAAGTAGAGTTAATTGCTCTCAGTGCTGCCAACTAAATATGAATGCCCTGGTCCTGTATCCTTTGTATGTAATGATATCAAAGTCACATAAAGCCTGTTAGGCCAGATTTCACCAATGTATTCATCAACACATGGATACATCTCTCTGGGTTTTGCATAGTTAAAACATTGCTTTTAATTTATCTTTTTCAGCTTGCCCATCAATCATTCCTGTGCATGAGTTACATACATAATATGCAATCAACCATATGGTCTCTCTTTCTGCAGATATTCTACAATTTATCTATTTGTCTTCACATAAATGGTTATCACAACTTAGGTCTTGATATTACATGTGCTGATGGTGCCACTGTTTATGCCCCATTTGATATCCGACTTAATGCCCATGTCAGGCCTTATGGTAATGGAAATAAAATAGATGATGGAATTCAGTTCACAGGACAAGGTAATTTTTTTCTTATTCCCATTATTGAATTGTCAAGTTTTGTCAGTTGATAATACAAAGAGTAAAGGAAACAAGTAGATAGCACAATGTACTGCATAATGCTTATCTGCATAAAGTGCATATAATACCTTAATTTTTTAATTGAAACTGGTTATTTTGAGACAATTTTTATAACTGATTCAGTGTCGTAATTCTGAACCTGGATATACAAAGATAAAACAGGAAGCATAATACAGTAATTTCCTACACTATGTTACTATCAATCAAGTCTAAAATGAACCTTCTCAGATGACAGATTAACCAGGAAAGGCACATGATATTGCTTTATTCCATGTGGGGAATCTTTAGCGTAGTTCAGGTATAATCCGGAAGTAAGTGGAGAACGAGATCGGGGGAAGGTACAGCAGGATTGGATGGTTAATGGACAGGGGGCGGTGACGGCGGTGATCCGGTGCTCAGGGGGCGTGGCGAAGGCAACTATTCCAGGGAATGTCCAAAACGGGAAATCCGGGGTGCAATTCAAAGTCCAAAAACCAGGTGATCCATCCAAGACAAGACAGGGTTAAAATCTGGAACAGGATCTGGAACTGGAACAAGAAGTTAAAAGAAAGTAACGAGGCCAGGGGCTCCGAGCCCAGGACTCAGACAGTCAAGATCGTGATGAAGCCTATGCCGTTGGGTTTCTCCTAGACCCGCTGGTAGGCGGGCTTCCGGGCGTCCATCTTCCAGTGCTGAGCCAGGAATAGCGAGAGAGCCAGGCTTAAATAACGAGACACAAAACAGGTGGCAGGTGCACATGATCAACTAAAATACAAAAGGGTCGGAGCACCCTTAAGAGGAGGGATCCCGATTATGACAGAGTCCTTCCATATATTTGAGAGGTTTCTATCCATCCATTCATTATCAGAAAGCCACGTATCCTGATGAGGTTTCTGATAAATCAGATCGTATCCCTGGAGCACAGACAGAAGGTGGGACTGAGGCCACACGACTGCTCATCCCCTGTACAGCATGGCAGTCTTTGACTGTTTTAAAAACCCTGCATTTACTAGTTCTGGGAATGCAAGTGGCAATGATGACTTTATTTAAGTTTAACTGCAAAAAAAAAATTAACATACATGGAAATGCATTAGGCTTTAAAAAAGCCTGCAGGGCGATGCTGTGTGTAGGAAAAAAAACAGGGTCAGTAGCTTTTAACATTGTAATTTGCATTGTAATTAGATAATACATTTCTCATTTATTCGGTTAATTAAAAGTTTCTTTTTTTAGTTTTGTTTTAATTGCTTCTGGGTGCGATGAAAGCATTGTGCCAACATTTATATATTTCAATATCTGTCAAATTATTATAATAAAAATACTGGTATAAAATGGTCTGACTATTATGTCACTGCTAAGTTGTTGTCTCTTTCTAGTTTAAGATTAAGAAATATATTTTTTTAAAGTGATTGTGCAGCCATCAAACTTGAAAAACAACATTTTTTTAAAATGTAGACAGGGATCAAATTAGAAAGATAATTATTTTTTGTTGGTCATAATGTTTTTCCAGTACTGCAACAGTAAAAGGATGGTAAAAGTCAGAATAAAAAGCTTGAAATAATCAGAATTTAATATTAATATTAAAATTAACATTCATATTTCATACAGGTTTTAATATAAATATAAATAACACTGCTCTATGTTAAGCACAAGCTCCAACATTATAACTGCCACTGATGTTCTACAGGACCTAAAGTGGATACAAACAATAAATTGTCTGGGCCTGATGGTATTTTTTCAGTCATACTTAAGTAAATAAGGGATGATATTCATATAGTAGACCTCATTTAGGATGTTTTAACTCTACGAATTGGAGCAGGGCCAACAGATTGGACTCTTGTGTATATAACACTTATTTATAAAAGGGAATCTTAAGTGTTGAAGGAAATTACAGACCAATCGATCTTGTATCTGTTACATAAAGATTTTGGAATGATAGCCTGAGTTATAAGTAGAAGAAACTATTATCTCCATATATTAAAGTACTACATAGAAAACAATAATATTTTAAGAGACAGCAAACATAGATTTAAAAAGAGAACACTCTTTTTACAATTGCTAGAATTTTTGCTAGAAACTTACAGTTGCTAGAATTGTCCAATTGGATAATTATCCAGTTGGATTATCCGAAATCCAAAGCATACAACATGATATAATTAGACATCCATAGAGGTTTTGATAAGGTCAAAGATCAAAGAATGATTATCAAATTAAAATTCCAGTCTTATATTAGCCTACAGTAGATGAATTGAGAACTGGTTGATGAACAGGAAAGAACAGGAGTAGATGCAAGCAGTTTTGTGCCACAGCGATTCAATTTAGGCTCATGTCTCGCTCTGATCTATATCAGTGATTTACATTCTGATATAGTTAACATGCTAGTTTAATTTTTAGATGATGCAGAAATAGGGGAGTGACAAAAACATGAATTTGAGCATGAACTGGCACTAGGCTAATTAAATTAAAATGAACTGATCAATGCAAAGTGATTCTCACTAGTAATAGAAACATGAGTTATTGTATGTATACTGTATCACAAGGGGAAGGAGCTGGAAGTTTCACACAAGAGGTATCAGGTTGATCACAATATGTCCTCTTCAAGGCAAATTGCTTCCCATTTTGGGAACCAGTAAAAAACAGTTTTCTTGGAGTCACTGTATAGCCAAAACAATTTAAAGAAAGCAAATCTGTGCTCAAGCTTTACAATGCATTGATAAGACCTCATTTAGAATTTTGTATGCCATTTTGGTTGCCATACCACAGAAAGGATATTGAAGCCATAGAAAATTGGCTAGAAAAGAGGATTGATTCCTGCTCATAAGGGATCGTCATATAGAAAAAACTTACTGGTTTAATATGTTTTCAATCAGGAGCAAAGGTGATTGAGAGGTGATTTAATTGAAATATATACCATCCTAAGGCATATACAGATACAGCATATACATTAAGCTAACCAGAGGGCTAATTTACACAGGTGGAACATAGACATGGGGTCACAACCGGAAACTAAAAGAGGATAGGAATAGAAATGCTGTTTTAGACATAACGTTGTGGGTATCTCATACATTCAAGCTAGGTAGTTGAGATCCAGACTCTGGGCAACTTTAAAAAATGGTTAGAAAAACCTTTAGTTTCACTAAACTACCAAATGAGCAAAATTGGGCTGAATGTCCTTCTCTTGTTTGCATTTTTTCTTGAGCTGTAATGAGTTGGTAGTAGTAAAATGCACATCATATACTTCCAATGCTGCAGTATGGGAAAGAGATTGAGTTCAAACTTCCTATTGAATCATCAGCTGTTTGTACATTTGTACAAATGAACTCCTGATGTTATACAAGGAAGGTTCATCCCTCTGATTGTTTCCTTGTAGGTCTCTGTGTGAAGCTCTTCTATGTCAAGCCAGATAAGATCAAAGGGTGGGTGAAGAAAGGAGAAAGAATTGGAATCATGCTACCCATGCAGGGGGTCTATCCTGGAATTACTTCTCATGTTCATGTTGAGATGTGTGATCGATCTGATCCGACTGAATATTTCTAAATTTAGTCAGACTCACCTTCTTGTCACAATTGTCTGCTCTCATTCATTTTCTCTGCCATTTAACCAGTATTCCAAAATCATGTAGCATTAGACTCATTTGTTGTTTACTATTACTGATTCAAGCCAGATTCTTTGGTTACAGTTTTAAATCTTTTATGAGTTTCAATACTTGTATGTGAACTGCGTGTAAACTCAACAAAATACGCAATAAAGACACACAATTGTGTTTTTGCTTTGCTAATAAAGCAAATCTGAATTAGGTTGATACTTCCCGAGCTATCATTTTATTTTCTTTCTTTGCTTTTAATAAAGCGAGGTTCATTTCAGCTTATTCACATTTATATGTTGCTCTTAAGAGAAGATGCCTTTAAGGGAGATATATAATCTGCAAACTTTTGCATAAATTTTTCACATGTTAATTGCTGTGAAATTATGCAAATCATAGCTCAGAGCCAGTGGTACAGTATATTGTTTGACCAAAGACATCACAACTATAAACACATTTTCCAAATTCATCCTTGACAGTATCCGCTCTATACTGTATTTAAATACAATGTGTTTGTATATATAAGTATTAGTATTGAAGTGGAAATCTAATGAGTTAATTGATTCTTAAAAATGTAGAGAGCTTTGCAAAAAAATATATTGGTGCTTTTAGATAATATTTCAAGGATATAACTGCTATGCTACAGTACGTGCAGAATTTTAGAAAACAGTTCGTCAACAAAGTACACTGTTTAGGTTAGTTTAGAAGACAATGTACCAAAACAATATATGCTGTCTGGGTCATTAGAATTAGCTGAAAGTAACTGATAAACATTGAATAACAAATCTAGTGCTTTTCTCTCGCTCTATGATGTAATTTGTTTTCTTTTAGAGAAAGGGGAAGTTTTAGAAAGGACCAAGTGCTGAACTTTTTTACAGCGCAATGTCTTATAAAAACCCTGTACTGCTTGTAACAAATTGAGTCTATGGCTGCACTTTGCGAAGTGGCAGCAGGGCTCCCAATATTGCAATATTGAAATAAAGACCTTACTCAGGTGAGAACTCTCTCTTGTGGCTTCCTTGATAGTTAAATTTCCACGACAGTATGCACATGCAAGGTGCTGTTTTTATAATAAATAATCACGTCTGGAAGTCTATAACTATGGCTTGGATAAAACTCTTTCATTTATTGGAAATGTAGTTGAAATCAACTTTTGCCCTTCAAAATTCCAATTTTGTCACACTTACCAGTGTTTAAACTAGTTTTAATAATAATAATTGCTTACACTTATATAGAGCTTTTCTGGACACTCCACTCAAAGTGCTTTACAGGTAATGGGGACTCTCCTTCACCACCACCAATGTGCAGCATCCACCTGGAAGATGTGACGGCAGCCATAGTGCGCCAGAACGCTCACCAGCACACCAGCTATCAATGGGGAGGAGAACAGAGTGATGAACCCAATTCATAGATGGAGATTATTAGGAGGCCATGATTGGTAAGGGCCAATGGGAAATTTGGCCAGGATGCCGGGGGTCACAACCCTACTCTTTTCGATAAACTTTTTAATCGGGATTTTTAATGACCACGAGTCAGGACCTCGGTTTTACATCTCATCCGAAGGATGGCGCCTGTTTACTGTACAGCATCCCCATCACTATACTGGGGCATTAGGACCCACATGGACCGCACGGTGAGCATCCCCTGCTGGCCCCACTAACACCTCTTCCAGCAGCAACCTTAGTTTTTTCCCAGGAGGTCTCCCATCCAGGTACTGACCAGGCTCACAGCTGCTTAGCTTCAGTGGGTTACCAGTTGTGAGTTGCAGAGTGATATGGCTGCTGGCTATAAAAAAAGATACAGTTATTACATTGTAATAATATTATCATGTTTCATGTACAGATTAAAAACCATAGTTCCCAAGAGAAGGTTACATTAAATAATTACATAAAATAACAAGTTAAAACCTCTGATCACAGATGGAAACTTTATATTAACAGAAACTGAAATTCCTAAGCCTTAAACATGTAAGTACACAGTACACTGGTCCTTGAGGGAAAACAGTTTCTGGAAAATTAAATAATTTGTGAGAATGTTGTGATATAAGTGAGAGATAAGATAATCTGTTTTGACATTTAAAGATTTGAGTGCTGCAGTGTGAATTGCATATACAGTACAAACGACATTGTATACTGTAATGACAAATCAAAAAATCCTGTTTTTGTTTAAGGTAAGAGAATCACGTTTTAAATTATGTTCAGCGGTCTCTGACTCCACGAGACCTGCAAGAGAATGTACAATATCTTTGTGGGCAGGTTTCTGAAACAAGATCATGGACACACTATTAAGAGTGGATGGTGGTATTAACATTTAGGTGCACTACATGATTAATAGTGAGACTGACATTTGTGGCTCCAGCTCTTGGGCTTACTTGTGTGACCATTGAGATGTTACTCATAGCTGATGGATGTGTTTGACTGGAACTGTCCATCAACAGGACTATTAGCAATACACCCAAAACAAGCAATGTTTGTAGATAGAGTTAGCACACAGAGCAGGTGATCATCATTAAAATATTAGGTAAGAAATGAACTACCCTTTAACATAATTGGAACACATGTTCATCACTATTGTTCAATAATTACTGTACGCAGAGGCTTGTCCAGTTAATAAAACTAATGAAGCATTTAATTAATACTGCAAATTGGAGCTATATGCTTTCCCTTACAGAATCTATATCTCTTTTTTCCATCCTAACAAGTGCTTGAGTAAATACGATACAAGTCCTTAAAATCTTAAAACTGTATGTGAACTGATACTATTTACAGTGCCTAGATATAATGAGATATTTACAATGAAAACCTTCCTATTAGGCTATGTACTGATTACTGAACTTTTTCAAACACTGTTTTAGTTACTTTCATTTTTCATGAAATGGGAATTTATGACCTCCATTGGACTCTGGTTCTATTGCAAAGGTTAATGAACTCCTGTTCTCTCTGCTTATTAAAGATGGGAATTAAATCCCCCAAGAACCTTTTCAAACTGTGTTTCTTTCCATACTGCATTTAAATAGGGGCCGCATTTGAAAACAGCCTGTTTTCAGGTGCAGTGGATTCTGATATGGTGGTGCAAGCCTTCACTGCAATAGGAGATATATTGAGACAAAGGTGAATACAATCAGGGTTTGCTCCAGTGTGTATTGCAAGACTGAAGCACAACTCTCATTAATAATAGACTTAACTTTAAGCCCTTGTTGCTGATCACAGGAGCCTGAGGTATGCTAAACACAATAAAAAAAACAAAAACAATAATCTTGGAGAAAGGTCATTTGAAAAGTACTATTTACTGAATATTGTTTTTTTTTTGTATTTTTAGATGGCCTGTAATGTATATTCTGCATTTTTAATTGCTGCTGCGGGATTATATTATATTATATTGGGAAAAAAGTAGTTTCAGAACAATATCTCAAAGTAGCAATTTAGATAGCAAGTAACAAAAAAGACGTTAATGGCTTAAAACTTGTTGGGTTGGATGAGTTTGCCTCCATTTTGTAATGCTTTTTTGAGTGTGGTTGCAGGGTTTGTAGCTGTGAGTGTAGAAAACACAAATGGAAATTTCAAATTTACAAAAAAAAAAACTTATAGGTGATTGTAAATTTAAAACAAAGAAAACAAATGTTTTGGTTTGTTCTTAATTTTTTTTTTCAATTTTGGGCTGTATAAACATGAACCCCATGAAATCCACTCTTGTTTTCCATTTCTCCATGCCAGACAATTCCTTTTTTATTTTCTTATTATCTTTTTTAAAACCCCTGATTCTTACGTTTAAGGGATAAGGTAGAATTTGCAGCAGATTTTAACCCATTTTAACCCATCCATCCAATTAGATCATAATGAGATAAGATACAATTATTAAGAAAATAAAAGTTATGGTAATATTGTAAATCTTGTAAACTCTTTCTTTCATCATTAGACTGCAAAATATATGTGCCAAGACACTGACACATACACAAATTTAACCAAAGGAAAGAATATGATGCACAAAAGTAGGCTATTTACCTACTTAGTGCCTCTAGGGAAATGTTTTTTTTCCAAAACAGTTATCTTTGTGCACTTCTGTGGGTGTGCCGTAGGGGCAAAACTGTCTTGAAGATGTACCTCAGAGACAAAAACTGACAACCGGTAACAAAAACAAATTGCAGTGAAGCTCAGACTAAAAATGAAAATGTTCAATAAAAAATAAAGCTTTACAATTTAAAACCCATGGTGGTATTTGAATTTGAAGCTGGTTGTATCTTTTTCGTAGACTCTACTAGACAAGTATTCAAAGCAGATGCACCTTGAAGTCTTTGAGAAGCTCAGAGTTACATAAGCCTTTGTGGAGCATGTTGAGATTCAGGCACTGACTTCTCTTGTAAGACATATTCCTTCTCTGCTTTAAAAACTGTTAGAAAACTGTTGTTTACCATAAACTCTATTCCCCAGAGATACCAGACCATATTTTAATCATAAAGCAAAGTTCCTAAGCTGTAGTTTTGTTTTAAACCGCCCATGTGTTAAAAGAATTTTGATTCTGTGATCGATAACGGTGTCATAATAGCTTAAAAAACATTGTTTGTAGACAAAACGGAGCACTGGACTGAAACGTCTGCATATATACCTCCTGATGCACAATCTGTTTACTGAAACGTTAATGGTGCTCAAAACCACAGCTTCACAGAGCTCATTAAAACGGAAAAGAAATTAAAAGAACACACCAGCAAAAGATGACCCATGGGTCACTGTGACAAATTAGTCATCAAGGTTCCTTTAAAGTTACAAATGCTTTGCACTGTAGGGGTGTAAAAATAGGGGGGGATATTAATATAGAAATACAATATAACAGGGGTTTGGTGAGTCATTTTTGTGCAAGTCTTCCTACAGTAAATGTATCCTTTTAAAAATAAGTTGCAATAAACTAAAGCATTCTGAATTGGTTAGCTTAGACACCAAAATAATTAGATATAACCACTGATCTTTTCAATTTGTTTCAGCCTTTTGGTAAAGTGGAATTAAGCTCTCCTTGGAGAAGCTGATGTCTGGGTTGAGGCTGGGACGACTCTGATAGACAACGATTTAATCCTTGTCATGGTTGAGCTGTACTTAACCCATTTATCCTGTTATTTTCATTATACACAATATATATATTTAAACATGCAAAGGACCTTAAAAAACACCAACACAAAAAAAGCAGTGACAGACAGGGACATTGTTCTATTTATATGGTTTTGTACCTGACATTCCAGAAATCGTGCTGAAATGGCCGAAAGGCATCAGCACTTAAACTCTGTGCACATTTTCATACAAGACAAGAAAGTGTCAACCACAGACACTGATTATAAGAAGACAACTTGTCTTAGATCCAAAATTCAGTATCGCCATCTGTGAATAACACATTTGTCTTGTTTGTATCAAATGGCCTCCAATTTTGTGAATGTTTTGGCTCTCAGAGAAGCTGTAATTTAGAAAAGCTTTTCATCTGAAGCACGGAGGCAGTTCGGTCTGTGAAACTTGTCTTTGGTAATAACTGTGCATTCAGCTGTCTTGGTTAGAGGCTCAGTGAGACAGTACAACAAAAGCACAACAGTACTGCAGAGAAGCAAAGAAGGAACGTAAACTATGGTAAAAGCACAACAGAAATCTAAAAAGACAAAAGACACTGGCGATGATCCAAATTGCCACTGTTTTGCGTGCCACGTTTTGTTTTCTTTAAATTTCACATTGTGTTTTTTGTG